ATCTAACGAGAGTATTGGTACGCACTACCCAATTCGTAAAAACCGGTGCACATAGCTGAGTGGCGTACCTTGAGCATCCTTATCTCGCGCAGCGCCATCTTGCGAACGGCGGCGTCTTCTTCGGTCTCAAGAAACTTCTTTATGGCGACAAGTTGACCATTGTCACGCCGACGGCACTTCAGTACCACACCGTACGACCCCTCTCCCACCTGCAAACAACATTTTATTACACCTTGGACGTTCGTTCCATATTGATATTAATTTCTGGTACTGTATTGTATACATTTGTAAAATAAAGCGAAAATCTGTTTCCACGGTTGCTTATATTAACTACCTGATAGACCGGAATCGTGTGGACCGGTTCTAATCGGCATAGAGTTTAATTTCAATACGTAATGTCCAGTAACTCTATAACCAGCCTATATCAAAAGTCAAATTGCTGTTTTAATTAGAATAAAATTATAAATTTTTAAAATTAACTACACTATGAAACTGCACCCTAGTAAAATTTTTCAACGAACCATAATGTGCCAATAAATTAGTTTATTCTTATGAATACGGTAAAAAAAATCACAAGCAAAATATTTTTTTTTGTATCAGGTACAGTCGACAGTCGAGCCGTCAGGTTGGCAGCTTTGACGTCTGCGCTTGATCTCCAAGTGCTAAATACAAAGAAACCGACCCATTACTTTCCTAACTGTAGACCTTCCTTGCTAGATTTAATTATTGTCACTAACCCCAAACTGGTAGTTTCGCATGGGCAGATGATTGCTCCCTTTTCACATCACGACTTAATTTATCTTTCTTACAAAGTGCGTCCACCTAAAGGTAAGGGAAAAGTCCTTCTTTTGCGAAATTTCAAGAATTTGAATCTGGATCGTTTGAGAGAAGATATGAGATGTATTGACTGGTCCGTATTGTTTTCGTCTGACAGTATTGACGTAATGGTTGATATCCTTAACACTGAGTTGGTGAAGGTTTATGACTCCCATGCTCCTGCTCGGCCTGTGCGTGTCAAATGTGCGCCGGCTCCTTGGCTTTCGCCTGAGATTAAAATAGTCATGGCAATGCGTGATAAAGCCAAATGCCGTCTAAAACGTGAACCCTCTTCAGCAAATCTAGACGCGTATAAGAAGTTACGCAATCTCAGCAATAGAATGTGTAGGGATGCCAAACGTCGCTACTTTCACTCTACCATACAAAATCTTTCCCAAGCTCAGGTGTGGAAATTTTTACATTCCGTAGGTGTTGGCAAGTCGTCCTTGGATGTTTGCCAAAACAACATAGATCTCGATACCCTGAACTCCCACTTTTCCACGCCGCCCATCATCCTTAACTTTCGCACTAAATCGAATACTTTAACTTTTCTGTCTAATCTTGCGTTACCTGATTGTCCCCCTTTCACTTTTAGTGCGGTCACAGAGGATCTTGTAAAAAAGAGTATCCGCTCGATTTCCACTAGGGCCATTGGCAGTGACAATTTGAGCCTCGAAATGATTCTTCCCGTGCTGGAGGACATTGCGCCGGTTATTACTTACATCATAAATTTTTCTCTCTCGCGCTATGTCTTTCCAACTCAATGGAAAAAGGCTTTTGTCATACCTCTCCCTAAAATCCAGAATCCTACATCTTTTTCACAATACCGTCCTGTTTCCATTCTCCCCATTCTTTCTAAAGCCCTAGAATCCATTGTACATACACAACTTTATTCTCATCTTACCTCCTATAATCTTTTATGTCCGTTTCAGTCTGGCTTTCGTCCATCTCATAGCACTATTGGAGCATTACTGAACATTACGGAGGACATACGTCGTGCTATGGATGAAACGAAACTCACTGCCATTGCCCTCTTGGATTTCAGCAACGCTTTTAACTCTGTTAACTTCGACATTCTTCTTGGTGCCCTTCAGGCTGTTAATATCCCCCTCCTATTATAAGTTGGTTCTCTTCGTATCTTTTCGGTCGCCAGCAGAGCGTGAAAATCAATGATGGCTCGTCATCTTGGTCTAACTTAACTGCTGGTGTGCCCCAGGGTGGCGTACTCTCTCCTTTACTCTTTTCTATTTTTATTAATAATATTTCCCGTGTCATTTCTTCTCCCTTCCATTTATATGCTGATGATCTTCAGCTTTATCGTAATTTTGAAGTGGGCGAGGTAGCGGAGGCAATTGCGTCTATCAACTGTGATTTGTCTGCCATTCAGTTATGGGCCAAGTCATTTGGCCTTTTGGTTAATCCAGCCAAGTCTCAAGCAATGATTGTGGGCAGTAGCAGATTGAGGTCCAAGTTGGACTGGTCTTTGGTACCTGCGCTGGTTTATGACGGAGTTCCAATTGCATATACTGACAAGGCTAAAAATCTCGGGTTAGTAATGGACTGCACCTTGTCTTGGACTTCTCATGTCAATGAGGTCAGCAGACGAATGTACTTCTCATATCATTCTCTCAAACGTCTCCAATACTTTCTTCCTTTTCACACCAAAATTAGGCTTGCGCAAACTTTTTTACTCCCTATTCTTGACTATGCCGACGTTTGTTACTTGGATGCGACCGAAGACCTTTTAAACAAACTAGAGCGTCTACAGAACCTGGCTATCAGATTTATTTTCGGTCTCCGAAAATTTGATCACGTTTCCGAATTTCGTGCTCGGTTAAAATGGCTCCCAATCCGCCTTCGCCGTGATGTGCATATCCTGTCCACCCTTTTTAATATACTTCATGACCCAAATTCCCCTTCCTACCTACGTTCCCGGTTCCAACTGCTTCCCCCTCCTAGCCACTCAAGGCGTCCGTGCATCACTAAGATGCTCGTTCGTCCTAGTTGTAAAACAAATTTCTTTTACAACTCCTTTTCCTCTCGTGCAGCGCAGCTGTGGAACAGACTCCCTTCCCATATTCAGTCTAATCCGTCAATTGCTTCCTTCAAGAAAAGGTTGACAGCGCACTTTCTTGCTGAACTCTCTTAATAATCATCATATTTGTATATGTGTAAGTTTATTGATACAATGTATTATACGTTATGTAGTCTATTTATTTATATACTATTTTAAATATTTAACGGTAATTTTATATATGCATATTTTATACATGTAGATTATCATCTTTTGTTATCTCTTTTGCACGCCGTTCCCCGCTTAAAACCTTTGCTCTCACTGCCTTGGGTTGGCTGGAAGAGATCTCTTTTAGAGATAAGTCCACCTTTGCTCACCTTATGTTATTTTTTTTTGTTTCTGTTTATTTGTTTGGTGCAATAAAGAATATTATAAGGTATCACGCCGCTTAACCGAAAATACGAAACACGTTATTGACACACTGGCCTTCCCTGTTCCTTTCTGGTTGTTGATGGGCTTCATATCTACACCCGTCCCGAAAGTAGAAAACATCATTAGGCAAATTAGTAATAACAGAGTAAGATGGTCTCACCACTGCCAGCTGTTCATACTTGTCCATGCCGCGGCTGTTAGGCGTGGAGGGCGACAGCTCGCGACGCTCCATCACGGTAAGTGTGTCTCGAAGGCATCTTTAACGAGACAACTGGAAACACCTGAAACAATTAATTAATTGAGACTTTATTGTCACATCCACAACAGCCTATAAACGTGTGCTGGTCCAAGCCTATCATTTCGCATACGTTGTATAATAAAATCACAATGAAAAAATGCAAAATGACGATTTTTCAGAAAAGAGAATTAAAAATAATTCACACAAAGTGGATTATTCCTATCTGATCCCGTTTTATTTCATACTATGTTCCATTCCCACCGGATCCCCTGCGCACGGGATCTAGAATAAATATAAATATTTTATTCTCACCTGATACCCTGGTACTTACAAGCTCATTCTTGGTAGGTACTATGGTACAGTCACACCCCGGACACTCCATACAACGGCCGAAAATTATTTGCCTACTACTGCTACATACAGCACGGCGCTATCTGCACACCCGCAAATGTGTGCGGCGTGAAGTGGAGCTTACCCATCACTTGCTCGTACTATTAACATAGCGAAAATTCTAACGCGAATCTGTTATCTATAATTCTGTTTATGGAATTCTTATAATTACACATGTTCATTACTTATTTATATCGATATAATATTATATCTTTCATTAATTCACTAACTATAATAATATTGAAGATTTATTTAAAAAATATATTAAAAGCACTTAAAATGTTATATTTTGGACAGGTACCTTTAAACAAGGCAACCAAAATATTTGAAATTGCGTGGCCAAGTTTGTCATTACCTAGTTAATAATAAAGTATATTCACTACGTAATATTTATCGGCAATACAAATTGAAAATTCGAAAACCCTTGACTTGCTCACGAAGTTATAGCGTCTTATTACATTGATATAATAAATCTGTATTACATATTACTCTGCAGTAAAGAAAACAATAACTGAATGAGTCTCAGACACTTTTTTTTAATTACTTCGTTTCATCTTTCAAAAAACGAAATAAACTCCTCTCTTTATCCCGTTTAGATGATTATAAACGGACGTACACAGCACAATTTACGACCATTATAAATAGTAACGTAAAATAATGTTATAAATTAACGTACAAATTTCGTAATGAATAAATGAAAACTATGTTCAAATATCAAAGCCGTCTTAGAGCGAAAACGGCTCGCCGACAGCCTTATTCTCGTTCAGTCAATGTAACCGTCAATATGCGGGACGTGGTGCGGTATCTAAAGCTAGGGAGGGGCGGAGAGTGTCCGTTCTCGTTACTTATTTGTTCTCTGGTACAGCCAATAAGAAAATGTATTTGTATTCAATACGTCAATAAAAATAGCAAGTTTGAATCTCGAAAATTTGAGGTGTATCATGCGAAATACGAAGTATAAAATATAAAAAACAATGCAAAACTATTTGAACATTTTAAGAATATCCAATTAAAATTAATTTATAATTATGGTAACTGGTGGCAACAGTAAACTGACGTTGGTTTTGATTTGTTAGGTTGCAATAAATTGTATATTATGGCATTTCTTTGAATTTATTGTCGAAACTAACAAAGCGTTTAGCACTCTTAGCCTTTTACTTTAAAATATCATAAGTACAGACTCAGTTTCTTTGCGATTTATAAGCGACTTCAAAAAGGAGGGTGTTCTGAATTCGACTGTATGTTACTTTTTCTCTTTTTTTGTATGTATGTTACGCGATAATTCCGTTGTGAACCGATTTTGACGAGTCTTTTTTTGTTAGAAAGAGGGTACCTCGGTAGTGGTCTCATTGAAATTTGAAGAAAATATTCCACCTCTAAGGGTGGCAAACTAGGAGATGAATCCGGTTTCGCGCATTTTACGGTAACCGATTCCAATAAAACTTGCCAAATAGATGTAATTTCACGAACTTTTGAAGTCGGTTTTTTTTATACTCTGTAGCGAGATTTATACGTGGGGCGCACTATAAGTTTCCGTAATGAATAAGAAAAAAATACTACAAATGGTCAGAAACGAATTTATTGTTTCTCAAAATATTCTCCGTTAGCGTTAATGCACTTTTTCATACGAATGAACCAATTTTGAACACATTTATGCCACTCCTCCGTGACTATCTCTGAAACATATTTTTCATACTCTTCGACAGCCTCTTCAGGTGATGAAAATCGTTGACCGCGTAACAGGTTCTTAATTTTTGGAAATAAATAAAAGTCACAAGGTACCAGGTCGAGATTGTACGCGGGATGGCTCATAAGGTCAACGTTGTTCACCTTCAAAAATTCATATGTCTGTCTGGCCGTGTGAGAACTGGCATTATCGTGGTGCAAGGTGATACGGCGTTTACGGTTATTTTTACGGAGTTTGTCAATAACTTCCGACAAACAAATGATCGTGTACCAATCGCTATTCACGGTACAACGATTCTCCAAAGCAACCGTAGCCACGTGTCCAGTTTTATTAAAAAAAGAAGCAATCATCCGTTTAGAGGTACTGTGCACGCGCGCCACTTTGGTTGGTTTCGGCTCATCTCGAAAGACCCATACGCTCGATTGCTGCTTTGTTTTGGGATCGTAACTATAAATCCATGTTTCGCCACCTATTACTATGTCCCACACCAAATTTGACGCCCCTTTATTGAATCTGGTAAGCATGGCATTGCACCAACTGACGCGATCCGTTTTTTGAACCTCAATTAAATTATGTGGGATCCACCGACAAATGTTTGTGTAGTATTGATTGTATTTGACTCATGCCTATGCCTAAAGGTGCCCGAATCTCATGGTATGTCACATGCCTATCTGTTTTGCCTATCGTACGGCGCCCAGCATCGATGTTTTTGTTGTTCACAGCAGTGGACGGGCGACCATCACGAAATCTGTCACTTAGATTCACACGACTGCGTTTGAATTCTGCAAACCAGCTATAAATAGTTGTCTTGCATGGTGCTTCATCGCCAAAAGCAGTTTGAAGCCAAGCAAATCTCCGCTGAGCTGTTAAATTACACTTAAAGTCGTAGAAAATCATACTACGAAAATTTTCACAAGTTAAATCCATGGTGATGTAGACAACCAATTTCTAAAATGACGCCACAATGTAAAAATAAGTGACAGTCAGATGAAACAAACTGTATTCTACAGCCAAAGAGTTCCATTTTCAAATATTGTAATTACTTTTTAAATATTGTTTATGTAAATGGCCAGTTCCGGAAACTTATAGTGCGCCCTATGTTATTGTATATATAATAATCAACGCCTGAACTAGAGCAATAACCTTGACAAAAATGTAATAGCTGCCATCTGTTGGTCTTTTTGGATATTATTATAATCGCATCGTGGGTTTACTTAGTACAATAAATGGTACCTAACCATTTATTGATCAGCGATAACAATCAAAAATATAAGCGGAGTTACAAGTGCACATTTCTTTGTATCAGATTGGGTATGTGTACTTGTCTAGTATTGTATTATCAGTAGTAAAGACTACCGCTCCAAGTGCGGTGCGACGTGGTACATATATTCGAGGCTTATAGATTGCAGTAATAATATAGTAAGTAGCTATTTAAACTCTATAAATATTATAATTATTGATACTAAGATCGTACACTTAGAAAAGATTCCTTCGATCCGGCCGGATTCGAACCGACGTCTTCTAGCAAACCGTGCCAGACGCTATGCCAACTAAGACACGGAACGAACAATCGGACCTCAAGAATTTTTCCATGTGCTTGATTGTCGGATCTTTGTATCTGGTTTTAACGACTTTTTAGCCGTAACGCCATCTATGAGAAATCTATGAAAGTATTTCTTCAACCAGCTAGGCAACTTTACAGCTACCAGCCCTGGCTAGAGATGTCGCTATTCACTGCAATTATGTGTTTTATTGAACCATGGCATTCAATTATTTTTTGGTAAATTACTCTAAAAGTTTCTTATAATAATTAATACTAATATTCCTTATTTATGAACTATTTTAACAAGGAAAGCTTTTGCAAAACGTTATTAAAAGTCCATAAGTAATTTAACTTCAAAGCTTTGCTTCAAAATAACAAAGAAAACTTAGTATTTCCTTTGTCATAGCTTCAGGCAGATTTATTTAGACTGTATTACCTGAAATTGTCTCAAGACATATTTATAACTAAGGAACAAAAGACTGAATGACGTTAATAGCAGGTTTGGCGACAGCGGGACAATTTAAAAAATTATAGACCGATCGGTTTGCTGGTAAATTTAATTTTCGATGTATGGCACAAGTGAAAAGAGTTCTTCCTTTTTAAAAAACCGAAAACCTATGACACAAGTGATATCCTAATGGTTTGACATACCACAGTACCACTTCTCAAGCAGAGGAATAAATTTAATTACATATTTACCAAGAGCTTTTCAATGAAAGAAAACTTAGTGAGGAAACCTACACGTCGAACAAGGTTTACAATCCTCGGAAAACCAGTGGGAAATTCCCAACCCGTCACGGTGGACTTTAGTCTAAACCCCCAGAGAAGAGAGCCGTGCCCAGCGGTGTGACGTATAAAAGGATTGATGATGGTGGTAAAAGTGAAGAGATGACGTTGTTTCACCAGCATGTTGTTTTCTTCAAGGTGGTCACGAGATGTAACCACCACTTTGTAGGGTCATATTTGGCTAAAGTGACATGTATTGGTTTTGTGTTTTAATTCTACGATTAAATCAACAACAAACCACCTATATGGTGTCTAACAGCCGTGGCGCCATGGCCATTTAGGTAACTAATTTTGCCAGTGAAGATCGGGAATTTTTGAGTAAGCGGATTTGCGGAAGCTTTTTTTCATTGGTAAGTAATTATTAATGATTATGATTGTCCGTGTAAACTACGTTAAATTGTACTACGTTAGCTTTGGCTTACCGGTGGCAACAGCTAATTGTGCAATGCACAAAGGGATGTGAGCGTGCCTACAGTTCCGGTACCTATCTGTAAAACAGGGAGGGTACGTGCATCCGGGACGGCTCACCCGGGTCACTAGCCTCTCGAAGAACCGGATGAAGTCAAGTAACAGAGGTCTGTGACATCCGTGTGTAATGGCTGATTTGTGGTCAGAACCTAAACTTATAAGGTTCCTG